TAGGGAAAACAAAGTGGAAATGGGTTCCTTGCTGCACCTCAGAAGCCCCTCCAAAAATCTCAATTTAATTCAACTTGCAGTGCAGTATTCATACAATAGCATATTGATATGATTTCGTCCTATGGTCAATTGAAATTAGGTCTAAAGTGGGGAAAAACAATGTGTTCTGTAAGTGCTGTACGCACATTATTGATCAAATGTGTTTCATGCAGCTTGTGACTAAATTCCAAATCTGTCTGTGAATTAACAACAGAGTGTCACGTTCGTTGATGAACGGGTCAGACCAAGGCGCAGCGTGATATGCAAACATGTTTATTTACACTAATAAACACACGACAAAACAATAAACTCAGAAAGTTTTAAACTGTCAAGAGGAGTGAAACAAGGTTGTCCACTATAGGCATATCTATTTATTGTGGCCATCGAGATGTTAGCTATTAAAATCAGATCCAATAATAATATCAGAGGATTAGAAATACAGGGCTTAAAAACAAAGGTGTCATTGTACGCTGATGATTCATGTTTTCTTTTAAATCCACAACTAGAATCCCTCCACAGCCTTATAGAGGATCTAGATACATTTTCTAACCTCTCTGGATTACAACCAAATTATGACAAATGTACTATATTACGTATTGGATCACTAAAAAATAAAAATTGTACATTACCATGTAGTTTACCAATAAAATGGTCTGATGGTGATGTGGATATACTCAGAATACATATCCCAAAGGAAATAAATGATCTCACTTCAATAAATTTTAATAGAAAGTTAGCAAAAATAGATAAGATCTTACTACCATGGAAAGGAAAATACCTGTCAATTTGTGGAAAAATCACCCTGATTAACTCTTTAGTATTATCCCAGTTTACCTATTTGCTTATGGTCTTGCCTACGCCTAGCGAACAGTTTTTTAAATTATATGAGAAAAGAATATTCAATGTTATTTGGAACGGCAAGCCAGACAAAATTAAAAGAGCATATTTATATAATGAATATGAATTCGGAGGACAGAAATTATTAAATATTAAAGCATTAGACCTATCACTAAAAGCTTCAGTCATACAAAAGTTATACTTAAATCCGAACTGGTTCTCAAGCAAATTAGTAAGATTGTCTCACCCAATGTTCAAGAAAGGCCTTTTTCCCTTTATTCAGATTACAACCTCTCACTTTCAGTTATTTGAAAAGGAAATAATCTCCCAAATGTCACTATTTGTAAAACAAGCCATAGAAAGTTGGTTGCAATTTCAATTTAATCCTCCAGAAACGACAGAACAAATAATGCAACAAATATTGTGGTTAAATTCAAATATACTAATTGACAAAAAACCTTTCTTTTTTGACAGAATGTTTAAAAAAGGTATAATTTTCGTAAATGATATCATCGGTAGGACTGGTGGAGTTCTGTCGCACATGCAGCTGACAAAAACATATGGAAATGTCTGCTCTACCCAAAATTACAACCAAATAATTGCAGCCTTACCGCAAAAGTGGAAGAGGAATGTGGAAGGGGGAGAAAGTAAGGAACTTGTCTGTCGGCCTTGCATTACAGAACATAATTGGTTAAGGAAAACTGTGATAAATAAAAAAGTATATCAGTTTCACTTAAGGACCAAAGGATTGACAGCCGTCCCATATAGATTGCAAAATAGTTGGGAAGAGATCTTTGACGTACCGATCCCATGGCATAGTGTTTATGAACTGACATGCAAAACGACACCGGATTCAAAAATTAGAATCTTTCAATTTAAATTATTATATAAAATTCTTGCTACCAATAGAATGTTATTTATATGGGGGATACAATCTTCCCAGCTCTGCAGATTTTGCTGTGAAGAGACAGAATCATTAGATCATTTGTTTTGGTTCTGTCCATTTGTAGCTTGTTTTTGGACACAGGTCCAGGAATGGCTAAAGGATTGCAATATTTACCTGGAACTAACCTTGCAGATAGCATTACTGGGTGATCTGAAAAGTCATAGTCAATCAATCAATAATATAATAATACTTTTAGCAAAAATGTTTATTTTTAATTCACAATCTGTAGAAGCAATGAGAATAGAAAGGTTCAGAACTTTTGTAAAACATCACAGTACGGTTGAAATATATATGGCAAATATAAATCCTATATGGATGGTGTTAAGAGATAGATGGGAGGTATTGAATAGAGTTGAAGGATGGGACTAATAACAAATAACAACAAATAATAACAAAGATAGCTAATAATGTAAGCATACTGTGTCCATAATAAGTATATAGGTTGTATGTTGGGAGCTTTTGGGAAAGAGCACAGTTAGAAAGATATGGCATATAGAAGCAAACCGGATGGACATCATGAAAATGATCGGAGAGGTTGAGAGTAGAAGAAGTTCAGGAGCAATAAAAAAATAAAAATAAAATATATATATATAATAGAATTATTGTAAAATTAACTCTGTCCATAAGGTGTAGATAGTAAGTATAGACCGGAAGTAGAGGCCTGGGCATTGTTGTTCACTAATTTACTCCAAGTAGGGAAAGGATGGTGGGGTTGAAAAGTAATAAAGGGGAGTATATATATAAAAAAAAAAAAAAAAAAACATAAAAAAAACATGGGGGATTGGAAGTGATGCAGACAATTACATTGATAGAAGATACAATCTATCTGCAATATTAAGCTGATCCATTCCCCCCAAAAAAAAAATAAAAGAGTGTCACGTTCGTTGATGAACGGGTCAGACCAAGGCACAGCGTGATATGCAACACACGACAAAACAATAAACTAACGACACGTGAAGTCCTAAATTAACACAACAAATCTTATACAGAACAAGATCCCACAACCCACTAGTGCCAATAGGCTGCCTAAGTATGGTCCCCAATCAGAGACAACGAGCGACAGCTGCCTCTGATTGGGAATCACACCGGCCAACATAGATCTAGACATACTAGACTTATAACATAGACCTACACCACATAGAAAATACACACCCTGACTCAACAAATAAGAGTCCCCAGAGTCAGGGCGTGACACAGAGTAACTAACCGCTTTTGTAAAGTTGAATATTCCAACTGCATGTTACATATTATCAGTGAGAAAATGTCTGAGCTACACTGAACAAAAATATAAACGCAACATGTTTCATGAGCTGAAATAAAAGATCCCAGAAACGTTCCATACACACAAAAAGCTTATTTCTCTCAGATTTTGTGCACAAATTTGTTTACATCCCTGTTAATTAACATTTCTCCATAGTCAAGATAATCCATCCACCTGACAGGTGTGGCATATAAAGAATCTGATTAAACAGCATGATCATTACACAGGTGCACGTTGTGCTGGAGACAATAAAAGGCCACTCTAAAATGTGCAGTTTTGTCACACAACACAATGCCACAGATGTCTCATGTTTTGAAAGAGTGTGCAATTGGGATGCTGACTGCAGGAATGTCCACCAGAGCTGTTGCCAGATAATTTAATGTTAATTTCTCCAACGTCGTTTTAGAGAATTTGTCAGTACGTCCAACCGGCCTCACAACCGCAGACCACGTGTATGGCGTCGTGTGGGCGAGTGGTTTGCTGATGTCATCGTTGTGAACAGAGTGCCCCATGATGGCGGTGGGGTTATGGTATGGGCATGCATAAGCTACGGACAATGAACACAATTGCATTTTATTGATGGCAATTTGAATGCACAGAGACACCATGACAAGATCCTAAGGCCCATTGTAGTACAATTCATCCGCCTCCATCACCTCATATTTCAGAATGATAATGCATGGCCCCATGTCGCAAGGATCTGTACACAATTCCTGGAAGCTGAACATTTCACAGTTCTTCCATGGCGTCCATACTCACCAGACATGTCACCCATTGAGCATGTTTGGGATGCTCTGGATTGACGTGTACGACAGCATATTCCAGTTCCCGCCAATATCCAACAACTTCACACAGCCGTTGAAGAGGAGTGGGACAACATTCCACAGGCCACAATCAACAGCCTGATCAACTCTATGTGAAGGAGATGTGTCGCTCTGCATGAGGCAAATGGTGGTCACACCAGATACTGAATAGTTTTCTGATCCATGCCCCTACCTTTTTTTTAAGGTATCTGTGACCAACAGATGCATATCTGTATTCCCATGTGAAATCCATAGATTAGGTAGATTAGGGCCTAATGAATGTATTTCAATTTACTGATTTCCTTATATGAACTGAAATTCAGTAAAATCTTTGAAATTTTTGCATGTTGCGCTTATATTTTTGTTCAGTATAAGTCAAACAGTATAATTATAATAAATGTAATTGTATTGTACTTGGTGAAATGCAATATCTGTTATGGGCCAGCTGAATGCATATTTTCATTTAATCGATTCAGTGTTTCTAAACACAAAATACAAACAGGAGTTATAAAACAGTCTCTCATTTAGAAGCTAGTGGTTTGTCACATTCAACTGAGCTGGGTGTTGGTTTCTGTGAATGTTTAATCATGTGTGTTCTCCACAGGAGCAGCGGGACAGCCTCAGTCACAGTCAAAGAAAGACTAGCTGGCTGAGCTCAGAGGACCACGCTCAACACGTGGAGCTGAACGAATAACTTATTAGTCACAGACTCAATGACACCAGGGATAGAACCCTCAGCAGAAGCATCTGTTAAAGAGCTCTAGAGAACACATGGAAGACACAGCCATTGTTTAAAACAACTCTAGAGAGACAACAACTGAACCCTAGCCCCAGAGACTGAAGTTACTGCACAGAGCTCCGTACACAACACTGAAGCCAGCGAAACCACAACCCCTGAGCCCCAAAGGGACCACCACTGCAGGATGGCTTCAACACCGTGACTGACTCTAGACCTACTGGAGTTCCAACTGTACAGCTGGGAACCAGAGCTAAAGAGGAGAATAATAGGATACTAAACTCACGTCTCAAATTATTGTGTGGTTGTGCGTGTGGCTCTGTGTGTGTTGATTTGTGTGTGTTGTGTGTAGCATTGTGTAGTTGTCTGTGTGTGCAGTTGTTCAATAGCGGATGTTCCAGGCATGGCCAGCATGGCGGTCCAGCTGATGGGCTTCTTCCTGGGTCTGCTGGGGCTTGTGGGTAGTGTAGTTGCTACGGTGCTCCCCCACTGGAGGCGGACGGCCTATGTGGGCTCTAACTTCATCACAGCCACTGCCTTCTTGAAGGGGCTCTGGACGGAGTGTGTGTGGCACAGCACGGGCATCTACCAGTGTGAAGTATACCGCTCAATGCTGGCTCTGCCACCTGACCTGCAGGTAGGAATGATTGGTTGATTGATTTGTTGATTGATTGATTAATTGATTAGATTAATTTGAGCACATGGTAGTTTATTAAAATGGGGGCAGGGTGTCATTTGAGCAACAGCCATTATGATACTAAACTCCTCTCACTCCCTCCCTCCCTAGGCGGCACGGGCGTTGATGTTGCTATCCTGCCTGACCTCCACCCTGGCAGTCCTCGTGTCCTCTGCAGGGATGAAGTGTACCCGCTGTGCCCGCGGCTCATAAATAAAAAAATTTATTGGTCATTTAGCAGACGCTCTTATCCAGAGCGACTTACAGGAGCAATTAGGGTTAAGTGCCTTGCTCAAGGGCACATCGACAGGTTTTTCACCTAGTCGGCTCGGGGATTAGAACCAGCGACCTTTCGGTTACTGGCACAACGCTCTTACCCACTAAGCTACCTGCCATCCACCAAGCACGCCCTGGCCATCAGTGGAGGGGTCTGCTTCCTGTCTGCAGGCATGCTCTGCCTAATCACTGTCTGCTGGACAACCAATGATGTCATCCTTGACTTCTACAACCCCATCATACCTGAAGGTACTATTCAATATATTTTATTCATCTTTATGTATGTATTTTATAACTCTGCTACTAGTCTTTTTTCATTTAAACATGTTTGCAGAAATAACAAACAATTACAAAATAACAAGAAATGTTACTTTGTGTTGCAGGTATAAGGTATGAGATTGGTGTGGCAGTATATTTGGGCTACGTCTCAGCCTGTCTTAGTCTGATGGGAGGGGCGGTGCTCTGTTGGAACTGTGAGGGGCGGCCCAGGAACCCCCTCCATCTACCTCGTTATCGCCACCCTCCTCCTCCCCTCGTCTTCAGTACTATAAACACCCCCAACACCCAAGCACCCCCCTACTATCCCCCTGTCGCCCTGAAAGGGAACCACACCCCCTCACGCACCTCAGTGTCCAGCAATGGCTACAGACTCAACGACTACGTCTGAGGGATGGAGTACACACTCAATGATTGCTTCCTAGTGTGGAAGTGGAAACACTCAATGATTGTGTCTGAGTGTGGAAGATAATAGAGGCTGATTGAGGGAGGTTCAAACTCAATGACTACAAAATAAAGACTCAAGTTACTTTCAAGTGAGGAAGTACAAAAAAATAAAGGGAACACTAAAATAACACATCCTATATCTGAATGAATGAAATAATCTTATTAAATACTTTTTTCTTTACATAGTTGAATGTGCTGACAACAAAATCACACAAAAATTATCAATGGAAATCAAATTTATCAACCTATGGAGGTCTGGATTTGGAGTCACCCTCAAAATTAAAGTGGAAAACCACACTACAGGCTGATCCAACTTTGATGTAATGTCCTTAAAACAAGTCAAAATGAGGCTCAGTAGTGTGTGTGGCCTCCACGTGCCTGTATGACCTCCATACAACGCCTGGGCATGCTCCTGATGAGGTGGCGGATGGTCTCCTGAGGGATCTCCTCCCAGACCTGGACTAAAGCATCCGCCAACTCCTGGACAGTCTGTGGTGCAACGTGGCGTTGGTGGATGGAGCGAGACATGATGTCCCAGATGTGCTCAATTGGATTCAGGTCTGGGGAACGGGCGGGCCAGTCCATAGCATCAATGCCTTCCTCTTGCAGGAACTGCTGACACACTCCAGCCACATGAGGTCTAGCATTGTCTTGCATTAGGAGGAACCCAGGGCCAACCGCACCAGCATATGGTCTCACAAGGGGTCTGAGGATCTCATCTCGGTACCTAATGGCAGTCAGGCTACCTCTGGCGAGCACATGGAGGGCTGTGCGGCCCCCCAAAGAAATGCCACCCCACACCATGACTGACCCACCGCCAAACCGGTCATGCTGGAGGATGTTGCAGGCAGCAGAACGTTCTCCACGGCGTCTCCAGACTCTGTCACGTCTGTCACATGTGCTCAGTGTGAACCTGCTTTCATCTGTGAAGAGCACAGGTCGCCAGTGGCGAATTTGCCAATCTTGGTGTTCTCTGGCAAATGCCAAACGTCCTGCACGGTGTTGGGTTGTAAGCACAACCCCCACCTGTGGACGTCGGGCACTCATACCACATTCATGGAGTCTGTTTCTGACCGTTTGAGCAGACACATGCACATTTGTGGCCTGCTGGAGGTCATTTTGCAGGGCTCTGGCAGTGCTCCCCCTGTTCCTCCTTGCACAAAGGCGGAGGTAGCGGTCCTGCTGCTGGGTTTTTGCCCTCCTACGGCCTCCTCCACGTCTCCTGATGTACTGGCCTGTCTCCTGATAGCGCCTCCATGCTCTGGACACTACGCTGACAGACACAGCAAACCTTCTTGCCACAGCTCGCATTGATGTGCCATCCTGGATGAGCTGCACTACCTGAGCCACTTGTGTGGGTTGTAGACTCCCTCTCATGCTACCACTAGAGTGAAAGCACCGCCAGCATTCAAAAGTGACCAAAACATCAGCCAGGAAGCATTGGAACTGAGAAGTGGTCTGTGGTCACCACCTGCAAAACCAGTCCTTTATTGGGGGTGTCTTGCTAATTGCCTATAATTTCCACCTGTTGTCTATTCCATTTGCACAACAGCATGTGAAATGTATTGTCAATCAGTGTTGCTTCCTAAGTGGACAGTTTGATTTCACAGAAGTGTGATTGACTTGGAGTTACATTGTGTTGTTTAAGTGTTCCCTTTGTTTTTTTGAGCAGTGTACACACTCAATGACTTTCCAGCAGACCTCCAGAGAGTCAGCGAGGATGAGTTTACAGTGTTGATGTTGTTCAGGTTGTGTCCTTCTTCTCTACGACTGCCCACATGATAATCCTGTACTCCTTACAGTACCTTGCAAAAGTATTCATCCCCTTTGGCGTTTTTCCTATTTTGTTGCATTACAACCTGTAATTTAAATTGATTTTTATTTGGATTTCATGTAATGGACATACACAAAATAGTCCAAATTGGTGAAGTGAATTGAAAAAAATAACGGAAAAGTGGTGCGTGCATATGTATTCACCCCCTTTGCTATGAAGCCCCTAAATAAGATCTGGTGCAACCAATTACCTTCAGAAGTCACATAATTAGTTAAATAAAGTCCCGCTGTGTGTAATCTAGGTGTCACATGATCTCAGTATATAGACACCTGTTCTGAAAGGCCCCAGAGTCTGCAACACCACTAAGCAAGGGGCACCACCAAGCAAGCGGCACCATGAAGACCAACGAGCTATCCAAATATAGATAACCCTGAAGGAGCTGAAAGCTCCACAGCAAAGATTGGAGTATCTGTCCATAGGACCACTTTAAGCCGTACACTCCACAGAGCTGGGCTTTACGGAAGAGTGGCCAGAAAAAAGCCATTGCTTAAAGAAAAAAATAAGCAAACACGTTTGGTAGTATGAAAAATGTATGCACTCACTAACTATAAGTCGCTCTGGATAAGAGCGTCTGCTAAATGACTAAAATGTAATGTAAAATGTGTCCGCCAAAAGGCATGTGGGAGACTCCCCAAACATATGGAAGAAGGTACTCTGGTCAGATGACACTAAAATTGAGCCTTTTGGCCATCAAGGAAAACACTAAGTCTGGCGCAAACCCAACACCTCTCATCACCCCGAGAATAGTTATGCACGCTCAAGTTTTCTGTTTTTTTGTCTTATTTCTTGTTTGTTTAACAACAACAAAAATATTTTGCATCTTCAAAGTGGTAGGCATGTTGTGTAAATCAAATGATACAAACCCCAAAAAAATCAATTTTAATTCCAGGTTGTAAGGCAACAAAATAAGAAAAATGCTTACTATATGTTTACTATAAGAGCTGAAAAACATTAACAGGACTTATTCCCTGATACAAATGGAGCTTCCTTTATAAAGGCCTTTAGGGAAATGACAGCAGTCAAGTTTTATTTCACATGTATTATTTGTTCCCGTTTCATTGCTCATAACTTTGTGGCTGTTGTGAAGGACTGTCTTCTCTATAGTCTCATATTTGTAAACTGCTTTATACTTATACTGCTATTTTAAAATACAGTCACCATGCAACAGACTACGTTTGAGCTTGTGTATGGTGGTAGGATACTCACTATGTACATTAGCTTAACTGGACTAAAGCGCAGAAACTTCTAGGAAACGTGATCTGTGCCAGGCCTACGATGACCACACGGTGGCACCAACAGCCTGTCTAGAAGGTGAGTGGCGTTCACTGTTCAAGAAAGAAATACTAGGCAATTGCCTGGAAGATACCAAACTTGTTCTGGGTTGAAGACAGGCAGCTTCGAACGCAGTTTCATTTAAACATTGACAATGTGAAAAGGACCTTTTCATATAGACAATGTTTCAATGAAACTGCTTTTCAAAAGGTTCCTAGAATTTCCATTAATTATGTCCAATCCCTATATCAATATATCCAAGTCAAACTCCCTTTAAATTGTATATGTATTTGAAACGTTTATCCAATTTTTACTGCCGTTTTAAGTATGCAAAAGGCTGGATTTGATAATTTTCACGCAGTCCATATCGCAGTCCATATCGATTCATTATTGTTGTCTGTCTCCTGTTGCAGGCCTCTAGCTGCGCTTGTAGCTGCGCCAGGCGCGGGGACATGTTCTTGAGTTGTTTATGTATTCTGAAGCTATCCAATTAGATGTATCCTCTCTCTGGCAGACTGTCAACATAAAGCACGGTAAATTAGACCGAGCTGTCAGAGGAACAGAGTAGTCAGCTGTCCAGTAGCCTATTTATTAAATTGGTCAACATGTTCTGTCTAAATATAGAAATGAAAAATACTTTTCCAATCTTCAATGCAAAAAGAGGTCCATTGCTCTTTGAAATTAGACAATGCCTATATGAAATGTGCACTGAATTGAGTAAATTGCTTGAACAGACTGAAAACCGATAGATTGGATGGAAATGGCTGTTTCCACATTTCAGTACCATGGACAGCAACAATAGGACTCTTGCGACTTTATCTTCCAAATCCCTGATTGGCTATCTCCAAATCCTTGACGCACGCCACACAGAGCTACACAATGCACACGAAAGCAGCCCAATGTTGTAGGTCAGGGATCATCAACTAGAGCGGATGGTTGGGGGCCTGAACATAATTATAAATAATGTGTAGACTGCAAAGTTACCGCAAAAAGCCCAAACAAATATATTTGACTAAAACATAATAATTTCAAACCTTGCTTACATTTGTATAAGATCACATGTATCTATATTGTGCGTGGGAATATTTGGTAACAGGTTTCCAAAATTAAAATCACTTGGATCTGATTTGTTGGAATTTTTCCGCACCCGCGCCGAATCGGAAATTGGGGAACCCTGCTGTAGGTGTACAGGCTAATTTATGCATTTTATGTTTATAATGATTCTCGTTCCCATTGCCCATGGCTATAATGCTAGACGCTATCCTGCAGAAGATAAATAAATCATTTAAATGTTACTGGATGTAGCAAGACAGAGGCCATCCATCGGGCATTCTAACCATCCCACTATCTCAATATTCTCCCGCGTAAAAAAGCGCAGTGCTTTCATTTCCACTCAACAGGCGCCTGTGTGAACGTCAATCACGCCTAAATGTAACCTGGCGAGTTAACGGATGTTTTATAGGACATCTCTCCCTTGGGTGTGCGTCATGCCATTCCCAATTAGTTATTTTCCTGTCCTTTCCTGGAAGACCTTCACTGGTCTTCCTTTCCCAATTAGTTATCCCCCCCCCCCCCCCCCCCCCCCCCCCCCCCTCTGACGAATATCGTTCTCATAAACCACTGGGGAATTACACACAGGTGGCTTGGATTACGTTGAGTTCTAAGACTTTTCCTACCAGGGTCTTACCCATTATTCTCTGGAAATCCAGTTGGTCGCACTTTTAGAACCACCGCCCGACGTCCATTTAAGAGCCAACTATAAAGGTAGGAGGAATACACACTGTGTCCTGGACAGGGCACTCCCTCGTTCTCCAAACAATTGTCTTTAAATATATGTTTCAACTGGTTTGTTAAGTAACTGTCGACTCAGATTTCATTAAGTTAAAGTAGAAGCCATGAGCTGAAATTACGTATAGGTGTGTGTGTGTGAGAGAGTGGCGGGTCTTTGAAAGGAAGTCGTATTCCTGCTTTAGCCGCTCCTGAAACCCTGCCGTCAGCAGGAATTAAACCCGAAAAGTGCTTTGATTTTCGTGGTGTGGCAGGAAAGACCCATCCAGTTACAATTTCTCAGCACTTTATTTTCCTGGCAGGGCGCGCACTCCGGAATGCGTAAAGCGCATTTTACGCACATATGAAACCGGTATAGAACCAAGCCTTTTCTACATCTGATAAAAAATTGTTACAATCACATTCCCTGTTTTATTTTCAAACATTATTGTTAAACTCATATTCATTATTGGGTGTATTATGTTTTTGGTCAACATATAAATCAAACAGTCCACAAAATCTTCAACAAAGGAGTGGAAAGAGAGAGAGCTCAGATTGTCAAATAATATTATACCAATATATTATTCAAATAATTATTAATCAGCCAATGAAGTAATAACACATCTAATCGGTTTGTCTCAAGAAACACGTTTGATTGTGCGTCTGATGACCACTTCACCGGGAGTGGCTGAGTGGCTTCTGTTCTTCACCTCTCCATCCCTGGCGCAGGTCTCAATGAAACGCCGTTCCTCACGCAGAGACTGATCACCGCAGTGGAAGAGGATGGCCGTCCACGCCGAGGGGATCGTGGCTATAGTGATCTTCTACTTGCTTATTCTGGGAGTGGGGATATGGGCGGCGTGGAAGAACAAGAACTCTGGGGTGTCGGAGGGCCAGGACCGCAGTGAAACCATTATGGTCGGCGGGAGGGACATCGGGTTGTTCGTCGGTGGATTCACAATGACCGGTGAGTTGTGACATGGTTCAAATGTCTGGAGACTTCGCGACTTGGAGAGAGATTGTGGCAGGGCTGGGTTGGCTTGGGGCCAACTCAGTTTTCAATTCAGTGAAACAACATTTAATTCATGATTTGAAAACCTACCATTGTTTTCTATGAGGATGGTTTAAATTTAAATGTAGACTTCTTCCTAAATTGACTGAATTGTTGGAGAGGACATTGCACCTTGCTTTTATTTCCAAATATTTCCGCTGTCAACTTTAGAGACAATTTAGTGATGGGGGAATTTAAATCAATCATGTTCCTCATGACACAATGGAAATTGACGTATTAAGACAAATGCCTGTGTGACTGTTTTTCCCCATACAGCAGTCAGACCAGCACCGCGGACCGGTTTTACGCACGGACCTTTATCAATTGTTGCGATAGGCATCGCGAAAATCAATGACCTAAATGTCAACGAAAGCTGTTTTATCGAGTTGGAGAACACAATGTATCGACAGGCTATTGTAAATGCACCCCGACTCATTATCATAATTATTCCCTTGTTTTAGTGAGAGCAACATCAATTGACGCCAGAGTAAATTAAAGACCCAGAGCATTTCCCAACTAATCTCTTTGATGCTATTTTAATAACAGACCCCGGAGGTACAGGCTTTTATAGGAGTGAAAACTCATCAATTATTTATTTTCCGCCAGTTACAGAAATGCTCGTGAAAATAATGGTAGCTTACTTGATCTATGTGAACTGTTGCGTAACTCAGCATTCCTGACATATTCATTAGCTCTCTTAACCGGGAATAACAACTAGGTTATTAACGCTCTGTGATTTATTCGACTAAATGTACAATGTTAATACCAAATGTTATCAGATTTTATATTGTTTTTGTGATTGGATATTGGATATTGGTTGTGTGATTGATTTGAAGGCTACAATGTGGCTCTAAAATTAAGTCTATGAAAAACACATACTGTAACTATAACACTAAAACAATTTGAGACATTTTTGGAGACGAGGCTTATTAATGTGTGTTAAATATTTTTGGAAATCTTAAACTATGTGATGAACCTCTCCTCCAGCTACATGGGTGGGCGGCGGCTACATCAACGGGACGGCAGAGTATGTCTACCTGCCTGACTACGGCCTGGCCTGGGCACAGGCTCCCTTTGGATACGCCCTCAGTCTGGTAGTAGGTAAGGACACTTATCCAATTGTGTTTGCATTCATCAACATCAATGAAGGGTAGTATATAGTACGGTCGTTCCACCAATTAGGTGCCTTTTGAGTGGTGTAACTTCGTGAAAAAAAAGAAGTTTTATTTCTCCAAATGTTTACATTCTGTCATAAAGAGCACATGTTCAACTTCATAAAACAACAAGTTTTCCCATCTCAAGAGGTTAAATTTTTTAAAAATATTGTAGTAAGCCTATTAGTCTAAGTGCCAAATAAAGTGTTTACTGTTTCATGTTATATCAGCCATGAATCCCCTTGCTAAAGGGGGAATGGCAGCTTTTTGTGTGCAACAGGAAGTGGTCATTGAATGCCAGCTTTACAAATAATTTAAATTGTGAAAATATTTCTAGCCTGTCTATCTATGGGTAACAGCGTTGATGAGTTATGCTCGAACCGCTCAGTTTTTCAACACAAAACACCAGAAAATGGCCAAAAATAGTAGAACCAGCTCACCTGCTTTTACATTATGATTTGACTATTAGATGTATAATGTTTCTTACAAAAAAACAAAAAAAGTTTTTCACCATATTAAAACGAGAGTTCACTTCATGTAACAGGGTTGACCTTAAAATGAGGGACAGGTTGTCATTGTTTTTTAACCTTAAAATGAATCACTAATCATTTCGTGGAACAACCCAGTATCTCAGTGACAGATGTGCGTTAATGGTGTCTCTCTCGTGCTCCAGGTGGCCTGTTCTTTGCCAAGCCCATGCGCTCCCGGGGTTACGTCACCATGCTGGACCCATTCCAGCAGATATACGGGAAGCGCATGGGGGGGCTGCTCTTCATTCCCGCGCTCATGGGGGAGATCTTCTGGTCCGCCGCCATCTTGTCAGCCCTGGGTAGGCTTGGGAACCATCCTATTTTAACTCCATCAATTCAAATGAAAAATCCTTATTGAAAAGGAAGAGATGAGGAAAATGAATACAGTATACATTCTTCAATAATCAGGTCTTAGACTATAGCACCACATCGTTATTTATTTTACACATCAGACCTGACTTTATACCTGCTGCTGATGTGTGTGTGGCCCTGTGTTTTGTCTAGGGGCTACTTTGAGTGTGATTGTGGACATTGACATCAACATGTCGGTGGTGATCTCAGCCCTGATAGCCATCTTCTACACCCTGGTGGGAGGCCTGTACTCTGTGGCCTACACTGACGTGGTGCAGCTCTTCTGTATCTTCCTGGGACTGGTGAGTCCAACACAAAGGGAAAGTGTACTTCCTCCTTTGCCATACAACATGACGTGCTCTCCAGCGCTGACCATGGAGCTGAACAATACCCCCCCCCCTCTCTCTCTCTCTCTCTCTCAGTGGGTCAGTGTGCCGTTTGCCCTGTCCAACCCAGCGGTGTCAAGCATCAGTGTGACAGCTAAAGAGGCTGTGTACCAGACACCCTGGCTGGGCAAGATAGACTCAGCAGACACATGGATGTGGATCGACAACTTCTGTCTTCTGGTATGTCATCAGTCACTATAATCATCAGTAAATTATATTGACTATAATGTAATTATGGTTAGGTTTGGAGTATGTATTCATTATAAAGCAGTGTGTTGGTTTGTTGTGTATCGTGTGTATTGACTGTGGTGTTTCTGTCCCTAGATGTTGGGGGGGATTCCGTGGCAGGTGTATTTTCAACGGGTTCTCTCTGCCTCTTCAGCTACGTATGCCCAGGTTCTATCCTTCATCGCTGCCGCAGGTTGCCTGGTCATGGCTGTCCCCTCCGTCCTTATAGGAGCGATAGGGGCCTCCACAGGTACACACTCACACACATACACACACACACACACGCATGCGTGCACACGCACACAGGCACGCACACACTCACATGCATACACACACACACACACATGAACACGCATGCGTCACACATGCATGCAGGCACGCACACACTCACATACACACACACGCATTTGTCTCACACATATTTTCTCATTCATAACGTTGTTCATATCCATGAATCCAGTCACATTATTTGCTAATGGGAAGTATGATCAAAAGCCACATCTTTCTCTATTAGCTATTACAACATAGCTCAGCTCAGATGTATAAACCAGCAGGCAGGATACAGTGGGTAAACAACACCAGACGGCTCCTGTCATACAGCACGAAGAGGGATTCATTAGATGTGATTTCTGTCAATATTACATCAGAAGGAAGACTAATTAATTAGGTTGATCTGAAGATTCTTCATCAAAGTCATCGTTAATCAACAGCTGTTTGTTGAAGTCCAGAAGAGAGAAGGAGAGAGAGACTGACTGACTAGGGATATGACTGACACGGATGAGTGAGGAGACAGGGGAAGGGGGGAGTGGCAGAATGGAGGGGGAGATAAGGTACTCAGATGGCAGTTACATGTTCTGATGTTGTAATGATTTATTCATCTGCTGAGAAGCTGTATCTCGCCTGTTGAGAGACATGCAGTTCCTGTCATCACTGATGAAATGAGAACGTTCAGAATAGTGTCATAATATGGCTTCGAAACTAGAGATATTATCTAACAGACAGATTTAATAACATCTGCTGTTTGTACGGATTTGAGTAAATCTACAGATATACATTTTATAAACCCTGCCCATACACATTTTATAAACCCTGCCCATACACATTTTATAAACCCTGCACATATACATTTTATAAAGCCTGCCCATATACATTTCATAAAGCCTGCCCATATACATTTTGGTACGAAAGTACGTAAACTACTATGTCTGTTGTATTCCCCAGACTGGAACCAGACTACATATGGGGCAATTCCTCCCAAAGAGAAGGACCAATCAGATATGATTCTGCCCATCGTGCTGCAGCACCTGTGCCCATCCTGGATCTCCTTCTTCGGTCTGGGGGCGGTGTCTGCCGCTGTGATGTCATCAGCAGACTCCTCCATCCTTTCAGCCAGTTCCATGTTCGCCAGAAACATCTACCAGCTGGCCTTCAGACAGTCTGTGAGTATACACACATGCACACACTCGCACACACACACACACACACACACACACATACACACACAAACACACATGCAGGCACGCACACACATGCAGGCACGCACACACACGCAGTAAATACACAGTACATACACGGTACACACACAAACGCACACAGTTACAAACGTTAAACACTAAAGCCCATCACTAAAGTTTCTGAATAACTTACCAGGACATTTCTGTCCATAAACTTCTGGTCCAGTGCTGGGGCCTTCTGGGAATAAATCGCTGCCAGATATTCAAATCTAAATATTCAATATGTAGGTTTGTGTCACAAATTAATATCTAACACAAACTACAATGTTTAATTTCTGTATTTAAATGTTCACATAGGTTATTTGCACATATTCAAATACATTAAACAGAAGATAAATGAACTGAAACAGTCTTGTCCCTCCTCCACCTTTCCTTCTCCTCAACCCCCATAGGCGACAGACCGTGAGATCGTGTGGGTGATGCGTATCACCATCTTTGTGTTTGGAGCTCTGGCCACGGCCATGGCGTTGCTCACGGGGACGGTGTATGGCCTGTGGTACCTGAGCTCCGACCTGGTCTATGTTATCATCTTCCCTCAGCTGCTCAGCGTGCTCTTCATCAAGGGAACCAACACGTACGGCTCGGTGGCCGGCTACATCTTCGGGCTGCTGCTGCGTATTGGCGGAGGGGAGCCCTACCTCAAACTACCCCCCTTTATCTACTACCCTGGCTGGGTGCAGCAGGAGAAGATCCACCACCTGACTGGAGACGTGGAGTACTTCATCCAGCAGCGCTTCCCCTTTAAAACGGTCTCCATGCTGGCCTCCTTCCTGGGTAACGTGGCCTTCTCCTACCTGCTCAAGTACCTGTTTGAGTCTGGGACTCTGTCTCATAAGTATGACTTCATGGATGCTGTGGTGTCCAAACACAGTAAGGAGATCATGGACAAGACCACGCTGGTCAGTAATGACAACATCATCCTGTCGGAGATGGCGCCGGTCAAAACTCGCCTCAGCACATCACTGGCCGGGACGTTTACGAACATAGAGGCTCTCAGTGACGATGAGGAGTCCAGCCCCGAGTCCTTAAACAACGACCACGAGTAGAGACCAGGAAGTAGAGACCAGGAAGTAGAGACCAGGAAGTAGAGACCAGGAAGTAGAGACCAGGACCCAGAGCCAGATCTGGACCCAGAACTGACTAGAACCAAGGCCAGGGGTGGCCAGCCCTCCTGGGGAACTACCCTCATGCAGAATTTTGCTCCATCCCTGCTCTAACATACCTGACGCTACTAATCAGCTGCTCATCAGGATCTTGAATAGCTCAACCAGGTGTGCTACAGTAGGGCTGGAGCAAAAGCCTGCATACCCAATCGCTCTCCAGCAGAAGGGTTAGCCAGCCCTGATATAGAGCCTTGAACCCAGGCCCAGACCAGGTCTGTCCAGCCATCCAGCCCCATCGTGTTCTCATCATATCGACCACTGACTGACTCTCTGTGAATCAAACACCAACGCCATTTTAGTTTTCTGTTCTCAGTGCTGCTACAGTAAATGGAGTCATTATAAAGGTAAGGTAATCAAAGTATAAAATATAACTGTCTGTCTGTGTCAAAAGGGAGCTATGAGAGGGACGCCAGCCCAGAGGGTGATGAGAATAGTGCAATATTTAATTGTGTGTGTGTGTGTGTGTGTGTGTGTGTACGTGCGTGCATGAACAAATTCATATCCATTAGGTATGTGTGTCTGAAATCGGCATTCGTATTATTTCCTAATTTGATTACAATTAACTTACTAATAGAGCAATAATGTTTTTAGGGTCAATGCTTTAAATATATCTGTATAATTATAAGTCATTCCAAACTGTTGATTGTTTTTAATCTTGAGAACAAACAAAATGTCTGTCTGTTTTAATTTTTTTTCTCCAATTTACACACAATAACCTTGTACAGTTCAGAATACTCAGTGTTAACAATATTTTAATAGTAACTGGATTTGAACAGGGTTGAAAAGAGAAACCCAAATCCTGTTCCATGTTGTCCATGTGCCAAAACCCTCCTCTCTGCAGGTGTAGAGGTTCAATACTGTGCTGTTGTGTTGGAGGGGAATGCTTGCTTTATTTCACAGTCTTACATCAGATTATATGGACCAGGTTTTTACTGAGAAACTACCATGTGTCAGCAATATAGGTGACAAGCCATACAAATGCTGTATTAATGGCTATACTGGTTGAAAGTGGACCTAGCTGTGGTTTTTGTGAGTCCATCTGCATCAGAAAGTGCACAACATTTGGCCAGAGCCACATAAGGTTAGGTAGTGCGCTATATAGGGAATAGGGTACCATTTGAGATGGGCCCTATGATCGTTTGTTTCCTTCTCTAAACTGTTATTGCCTGCAGAGCAGCAGCAGAGGGGTTTGGGGAGGCCGAGATTGCTCCTCCAGGGATCGTATCAATAACCCATTGACACGATCGATTCAATTCCGCTCCGTCCGTTCTGTCCGTCTGCCCCGAGGACATTTGATTAGTGTTCCAAGCTGGTTATGAGCTGAGACAGGAAAAGAACAGCACTGGTTGTTTTGGTGTCGGTGGTTGTAATGATTGGAAGCCGAGCCGGTCCTATGCTGAGTGAATGAGCTACCTATCTGTTATCACAGTTGTTACAGTTTGATAGGTGAACACTGACAGGGCCGGCTCTAGCCTTGCAGCAAAACCTTTTCGTGGCCCCCTTCTTGACGTTGGAGAGAACAATTTAAGTTTTAAAGTTAATTTCCTGAAATTCTACACATTTTGCCATGGAGCGTAGAGAAAATGTTCAAATTTATAACACATTTCATGCAATAGTGCACATATTTTTCCACGAGTCAGAGAGTTTTTTTTGCAGTTTTAAAGCAAATTTCCTGCAATTCTACACATTTTGTAATGACTTATGCTATGTTAATATGATATCTGAGTGAGAATGACTAAACTAAATCAATGAGGCCCCCTGGAGGTCAGGCCGCCTGGGCAATTGGTATTCAGCCAAGATTACTACAAGTTTAGATAGCTGACTAGTCTAACTACCAATCTAAAAACTGTTAGCTGACATGGCTAACTGAGTGACTGTCAGTAGCTAGGTTTCCATCACATTTTCGACAGATTATCATGTGAATATTCTAAAATCTGCATAAAACAGTATGCGCATTTTCGCACCAGAAATGTGTTTCCATCTAACTGACTTTTTGTGGATAAAGGCTGTGCATAAATATAACTTTTGCGGTTACATTTCCATATACCGAATGGAAAATACAAGTTAGATGGGTTTCCATCGCATTTTCAGCTCGACTAATGGTTTTGTCACAAAAACTTTTGAGTTATACAGCAAATGTGCCTACTCTGGTCTTGGCACGTGCGCTCTAGCCAACATCTCACAGATACAGTGCAGGTAGGCTCCCTACATTATGAGATTATTAATGGATAAGAGCGATATTTTTTGTGTTTCTCAAACGGCAGCCAAGCATCGATCATCATGTCACCAGAAGAAGACCCTCGATATTTATTGGAAAGGAGCATCAAGCTCATCAGCTTGCACATTCACCACCATGTGAAGTTCATCATAACTTATTTCATCTGCAGCCTAATAAACTGCATGATTTTCCGAGTCGTAGTGGGAGGACTATACAACACATCATCGCGTCACTCCAAGTTTACATTTACATTTTACTCATTTAGCAGACGCTCTTATCCAGAGCGACTTACAGTAGTGAGTGCATACATTTTCATTTTTTATAGTTTACTTCGATATGATGGTTATTATACCAATATTTGAGCATAAAGGCGCTTCCACTGCCATTTCTCGCATAATTAATTTTACATACACAAAAAGATCCCACCATGTCGAACGAACAAATTGTCTGTCGGCATTTATAAAATTGTACCGGCATTTCCTGTTTCCATCAGCCCGGTCGTGACTTTTTTCATGCGTCAGGTAATTCATGCGCATGAAATGGCTGGATGGAAATGTGGTCATTTACTGAAATAACAAGCGAAAAAATGCTGATGCACAACCAAATTTCGAAATTGCACCTGGTGTATTATACTATTCTAACTCTCAATAGTAAGTTGAGACCCTGACTGACTTCCTTTTTTAAATATTTGTTTTTTGTGGGGGGGGGGGCCCTAGCAGCCTGGGGCCCTAAGCTTATGTCTCTATTGCCTCGAACCAGCCCTGAACGCTGAGGAAGATCTGTTGACCAATAGGTTGGTCAGAGAAAACATGACAAAATGCAGATTTGAGATGATGATGGGAAATGTGGTTGTTGTTTTGATGTTGTTGAGTATTTCTGTTCTCTGGTTGACTCCTCTCACATAGTATTTGTTGGTAAACATTTGCTGGTCTTAATATATAGTTTTAATCTGTTTGAATCTGTTGAATGATGGCCTTAATTTGGGTAGTATTGGGAGCTGGTCTGATGCTATGCAAAGTGTCAGAGGAGTTGTGTGTCAGGTAGTCTGTTTAGAATGTAATGTGAATGTAACGTCTCCTCTCCTTCAACCAGGAGACTGGCTTCATGCTGTCTTATGTTCTACAGTATCAATGGAAAATAAATAAAAACGAAAGAATAAAAAACATAATAATGTCAGTTGCTCGACTGGCTATACTAAATGTGGTTGGTTCTATGTTGTAAATGGAAATGTACATTTTTGTGTGGTACATGTATATACCAACAAAGTCAGCATATGAGCAAATGGAATATACGTTTCAATGCAACGTTAGAAATGATTTATCCATTTGGTGAGGTAAAATTACAGCTACGTAATTATTTATTTATTCATGCAGTGTCTATAAAATTATGATGATTCATATGTGAGGTAAATAAATTATATTATTTAGCACATCGATAATTTGTCTTTCATTGTTTTTGTGTATTACATATAACCAGTGCAGTGTGAGAGCTGTAAACAGCTAGTATAAAGAGAGTGCTGACTGGCTGTTTCTATAGCTCTGGGTAATGCACCACAGTAAGCGAGACTGACTAACAACATGACGGCCCATGGTCTTCCTTTTACTCTCTAAACGATCTATTCAGCTCCAGTGATTTGTTTGTATTTATGTGTGGCCCTACCTCTGTGACCTCCATTCAGGGCATCAAACCCACTCTTTAGTGAACAGTGAATAGACAGACTGATTTCTCTGCTGATATGCCAATATGGTGTGTGTATGTGTGTGTGTGTGTGTGTGTGTGTGTGTGTGTGTGTGTGTGTGTGTGTGTGTGTGTGTGTGTGCGTGATTGCTAGGTCTGACAGCTGTGATGGCTATTGTATTATGTTGTCTTTGATTGATGCCTTTCTCCAGAACCCCAGATAAACACTCTCCTGCCAAACACACACACGTACACACACACACACTGACAGCCTTTGGTAATGCCAAACCAGACCACTGACATGCCTGACCTGATGCGTCACACTGACCTGAATACAAGACCTCCTCCCATGCCCTGACCCCATCTGGCCCCTGATCCAGTTAGCTCATTCATTTCATAAACCTTGGTTGGGGTGTGAAGTAGCAACAGACAGGGTACTGTTTGTTCTCCCCTCGAACCATGGGCGATGACCTCATCACAGAGGACTGGGACCCCAAGGTCGCTCCACTCCGTCGGGATAATTAAACACAGACACAGTGGGTGGTGTTTCTGATGGTGTGAGTTTGTGTGCCTGCGTACAGATGTAGGATTACAGGAATGTTCTCCTGCAACAGGGTGATCAAATTAAGGTGCTACACCTGTACCTGTGCGTGTGTAGATCTCAATAGAATGCTGGTGTTGGCAGCCCTGATAGAAATCACTAGGGGAAGTACTGGTGAACATTGGACTCTACTTCTGTTCACACCCCCTTCAGGCTAACATCACAGAGGTATCACTCCTGCCCATGCAATTAATGGACTAACACAATGGAATGAAATTGGATATACATGCCATTATTCATTATAAATAATGTAATCTCATTATCATCTACAGGAGTAATTAGTGTAAGTGTCAGAACATGCTCTGTTCTCGACAGACCTGAGATTGTTCTGATATCATGTCACCTCATGAAGCCACATCCCTTTACCTCCTTTAAAACTGTGCCATT